GGGGTCGGAGAGAGGGAGCTGCGCTGCGGGGCGTGAGGGGGCGGTGAGTGGGTGAGCGAGTCCGGACCCAGCGACCCGGGTCCCATCTCCATTATCACCTAAGGGGAGCCGCGCACATCTTTGCACAAATCGATGACTTCGAACCTTAATTCCCCTCCTCTGCCTCCGTACTCTTGTCCCCATCCCTCGCAGACTTGCCCTTTCCCGGTGAGCTCATATTTAATTACCTTAATGTTGGAATGAATAAATAATGGGTTGATGAATAGCTTATGGAACGCGATAAATAATACAAGAGCAGTCCAAGGCCCCCGCCCGCAGCCGCTGGAAGAGTTGCTTCTCTCCAGGTCGGCTTCAGCTCCAGGAGCCCAACCTCCCTCCCTCCTACCAACCCCCATCACCTTCCGGAGGGCCACCTCCTCCTCCCTCTACCCACCAACCCCCACCAAACCCCACCACCCCTCCAAAGGGCACACAAGTACTCCCAGCAGGACAGCGTTTTCCCGGTTCTCAAAGGGCTGCCACGTTTTGAGACCAGGAGAAAAGCTGTCTGGAGCATACTCGCCGATCAGATAGACACTCCAAGAGTTCCTGTGTGATTTGGTCTTAACGTTCTATGGATGAAACCGGCAGGTTAAACCGGACTCAGTTTTCCCATGTGCGCAGTTGCGTTTTCCAATACCACTTCTGCTACTGAGGAATGCCGAGAAGCTTTACTTGCTATTAGCAAAAATGCTTTGGGAACCTCATACGAAAGGCGCTGGATGGGGTGTAAATTAAATAAAACTGTGCCCGGCTCCAATAACCGTCCGGCTGTAACATAATCCTTGCCCTGCTCTGAGTGGGACACTGCCCTCAAAGCGAGGACGACAGCGGCTCCAAGAAGATTAAATAAAGAGGTGTGTGTGTGTGTGTGTGTGTGTGTGTGTGTGTGTGTGTGTGTGTGTGTGTGTGTAGACAGCAATGCAGGCCTGTTTGGCTGCCAGGGAATGAGAGATGTCCTGCAATTTAAGTCCCATCATCTGCTATTTTGTTTATGTGTGGAGAATGCTTAGTAAAACTGCACAAACAAATGGAACTGTAATTATCTTAAGCCTCATTTGCACACCTTGTTCCAAAGCAATTATTAAAAAGATTTTGAAAACAATTAGCCTCTCTAAACAAAGATAATCTATTGTCAGTAGCTGAGACTGGCAGGAGATAAGAACAATGCGTAGAGATAAGGGAAACCCAAGGGTGCAAAGAGAGTGACTTTATGACTATACTTATCTCTGATGAGATAAGTCCAAAGCAGAATTCTAAGCACACTTCAAAAATGCTTTTGATTTCAATGCGCCCTCTTCATGAGTGGTGAGGAACTCTAGGCTTCTTACACTAGCTTGTCTTCTTTAAATATGTTTTGATTCTTTCAGCATGACAGGAACTTTTGCACGTTGAGATGTAAGTGGGAGAAGGAGAAGCAGCATCCAGATTTCCCCTTGTATTATTTATATGGTTTTAAAACCATGCACCTGGCCCAGTGCACCCTGCAACTTACATTTTAAACTCATAACGAGTTCCCACCTCAGGGCTGCCACCTGGGAGATTCCAAGTAGACAGGAAGCTGCTCCCGTTCTGAACTCCCACATAATGTCTGCATCTCTGAAACTCTTGCATATCCCATGCAATTAGACTTTGGAAGCAGATACTGACATTTCAATACATTTAGGCTTTTTTTTTTTTAAATGCATTTAATGGGGTGTGTATTCTTTCTCAAGAGCTCCTGCCACATGGTGTGCCCAATGACTTACTTTCTAAACTGGACGCCTGGCACCACAGAGCCCAAAGCCATGTGTCTGGTAATTTTCCCTCTCATCTTATTTTAGCACTCATGATGTTTCAGATGAAGTCTCAAGGAGCTGCAGTGTCCTGCCAGAAGGAATGTCTCCACTTGGAACAGTCCTTATTGACATGGCAGCTGTGTGAGGACCGGAACGGAGGCTTAAACCCGCCTCTAAAAAATCAGTTAATAACCCTAAAGGCTGGAGCAAATGCCCACAATTGCAATGGCTGGGGGGGGAGGGCTGGGGAGAGAGGAGGGTGGACTGTAAGCACAGCCACGTCCCTTAAAAGACAAACGGTATGTTGAGTATGGGGCGTGCTTTATAATTAACAATTTTGTATAAGGGAACGAGGCGTAGCTTGAGCAAATAAGGGCAGGTATAAATTTACAGGGGATGACAGAGAGAGCAGAGAGATGGCAATTAGACACCAAGGGACCACCTTTTTTTCCGGCTTTCTCCAGACCTCCCTGCCCACGTCTTTTTATCTCTTTCCAAAAGGCACCAGAACGTCCTAGAGGTCGGCGACAACTGGGAAGACGACGTGTGGAAGCTGTTGTCTGCGGGCACCGAGGTAGACTGAGAAGAGGCGGCTCTCCCTCGGAGGCCGTGCCGGGGCCCTCCAAACTTTTCCCTCTGCTTTAGTCCAATAGCTCGCGTGACTAGAAAGGAAGAGTGCTGTGCGCTATGCACTGAGCAGCCCACCTGCTATTTCGATCCCCTCGGTTAGAAGAACCAATTGTTATAAATGCTAATTATTGGCTCGGATATATAAGGTTTCCCAAAATGGAACCTTTCACTGAAAACCACTAAAAGAGGTAAAATGACATGAATTTACAAACCGCATAAACCAAATGGTCCATTTTAAATCGCGCACAGAAAGGTTTGAGTTTGTTCTGGTAACATAAAACCTTTGCTGTCAATGCGCATCGCACGAAAAGCAGAGATGCGCCGGAGATTTAAAGGGAACGAGCGACTCTCGCCCGCCGCGCGGCCCCAGAGGCTGGTGGGGAAGACCAACCCCGGGTGTCGGCTCCCAGGTGCCTCCTCGGTGCAGGTAACCGTCGGGTGCGCAGAAGCATTAGGAACTGCTGGGGTCCCTCGGCTGGGCTGACAGAAGGCCTTGGTTCAAAAACCTCTAGCTGGGACCCACCAGCATCCCTTCTGGCTGGGATCCAGACGCTTTGGGGCTCTCGGTCCGTTTTTTGGAACTCTTTCGCCATCGAGAACGACGGAGAGGATCCTTACTCTACCCACAGATGTTTGGAAGGGAAGGGCATCGTGTTTCTTCAGTAAATTAGTGTCATCGCTCTGGGAGAGTCCCCAAGTCCCAGAGGAAATGACAAAATCCATCTTTTTCCCTCTGCTTACTCGGAGACTCTGGGTGCCCTCGACCCTTGGGAGCCCCGGCCCGAAGGCCCGCGTGGCGCCGGAGCAGCCGCCCACCTGCCTCCTGGGGGACGCCGCTCCCCGCGAGGTCTGAATAGGCCCGGGGCTCCGGCAGGGAGATTTGCGGACCCAGAGAAGAGAAACCCTAAACCAGTCCATTAGTAAATGAGTTTTGTGTTGTCAAGGTTCTTTCCCATCCACTTGCTGTTCTGAAAAATAGATCACGTTTCGTTATCTTTAGTGGGAATCTGCAACGCGACACCGGATCCGCGCGGCCCCCTTCCCCCTCCCTGCCTCTCTGCCTGGAGGAGGGGAGCGGGCCGGCCTCCTCGGCTTATTTCTGAACAATGAGGATTTGTCCGTTCCCCTCGTGTATTTGTGTGTGCATGGAGGGAGAGTTTTCTCCCGCAAGCGGAAAGCGCGCAAGCAGACTTTCCCGCTTCTGTGGTGCGAAAACGCTCAGTCGGCCCAGGACTCCGGGAGACGCCGCCCCCTCGACCCCCGCCCACACCTGGACAAACAGAGCCAGCTGCGAGCCGGGCGCCGTGGAAACCCCCCGCCCTGCGCAGCTCCTGAAAACAGCACCTCCGCATTGTCCCGAGGTCGGGAAGGGAGAGAGAGAGAAAACACAGACAGACGGACTGAAGCACAGCGTCCGGAGCGGGCTGGGGCTGGAGGGGAACAGAGCTGGTGTGTGTGTGTGTGTGTGTGTGTGTGTGTGTGTGTGCGTGTGTGTGTGTGTGTGTGTCTTTGGAGGGGTCATCCCCTCTTCTTCTTGGTGTGTCCCTTGCCTGGGCCCTCCCGGAGTGTGTCTCTCTCTCCTCTTCGCTATCTGTAAGAGGATGCGCGTTCACTCTGTTTGTGAACCCGGTTCTCATTCTTTCATTCCTCCTCTCTCTCTCTCTCCATCCCTTTCTCACTCTGCTTCTCCTCCTCTTTTTCCTCCTCCTCCTTCCATCTCTCCCTGTCTTCCTTTCCCGTTCTATTTTTCCTCCTCCTTCTCCCTCCCTCACTCCCTTTCTCATTCTGCTTTTCCTCCTCCTCCTCCTCCTCTCTCCCTCCCTCTCGTTCTCATGGTTTTTCCTCTTCCGCCTTCCTTCTCTCTCCCCCTCCCTCCCTGTCTCATTCTGCTTTTCCTCCTCTTCTCCCCCCTCTTCCTCCACCTCTTCTTCTTCTTTTCTTTCTCCTCTTTCTTCTCTCTTTCCCTCTCCTCCCGTCTCTCTCATCCCCTCCGTTTTCCTCCCTTCCCCACGCTCTGGGCGCCTGGTTCTTTCCGGGAAAAGGCGCTGTGAGGTTTCACAGACAGCGTGCGGATGTCGCACACAGAGGCAGGGCGGGGCGGGTGGCTCCGAAGTCCGGGCGGGGTGGCCGGCCTCCGTCGACGGGGGCGTCTCACCCCGAGGGGAGGCGCGGGCGAGCGGTGGGAGGCCCGCGGGGAGGGCGGGAGAAGGCGTGTCGGCCACCTGGGGGAAAGGGTTGACTCCAGCTGCGCTGTTAGAAAGCTCCGGCCCAGAGACCCGCGAGTCTCCAGGCTTGCGCCAGAAGACCCCACTCAACATCAGATGCCAGCCACCTCTCTGGAATGGGGAGCGAGGGTGTTTCAAGAACCCGTTCGTGATAATTTAAGACACTCTAGCCCCCCCCTTTAAAAAATATCGCCATAGGGCAAGTTTACAAAATGAACTTTTTCAAGACTGCTTATCTTCCATTGAATTTCCAATCAACGTTTTTTTTTCTCAACTAATGTACATCCTGAATACCACCACATCTGTCTAAGCTAAGAAGAATTTCCTTTTGGGAGGTGAAAGCCTGCAGCTCCTCCTGTTCAGAGGAAAGTGCTAGTGACAGTAATGCAGGGTGACACTAAATAAACAGTTAGGGGGGACTGGAAAGGTGGAGTTAATTATCCAGTGAGCTGCATTTCAGCCCAGACCATCAGGGGCTGATTTGTTTTGGCTCACAGTCAGAGGAAGGAGACAAACCACTCTCTTCTCCACATCTCCTCGGCATCCTGATCATTCATGTCTTCAACAAAAACCACTACCCAGGTGTCAATGTTTCAATTAAAATTTGGTTTGTCACACCTTTGCAGACTCTGCAAAAATGTCCAGTTCATTGCCCCATATCCCTGGAGAGAAGACCCACAGTGAATTTTTTAAAATGCACTCTCATGAGAGAAAAATCAGGGCAGAGTTCAAAATCTCTTTTTAGAGGCCCAAAGGTAAGGAAGGCAGACGCCCAGCGTCCCTTCTCATCTCTTCACCTGGGTTCTTACTATAAATTCATAAACCATGTACTTGTAAAAACTAAGATATTAGCCCGGTTTTCACGAAGGTTTTACTCCTCTCTCCAAAAAAAAAAAAAAATCAGGTTTTGTGAAATTTGAAATGCAATTAGATTTACTGTTAACGTGATTCACTGACTATCCAGTTTCCTCAGGTAAACCTGCACTTATATATAAATCCTAGTAATTTAAAACTTCTCCTTCCC